ACAAGCTGCTTTTATTTTTCCCCAATTGGTGAGTTTGTGTTGCAGTTGTTTCTCGATATTGTTTAAAGCTTTATTCGGTTTCGCTTGAAACCGCATTAATTCTGCTCTCTCGGTTTGCGAGTCCCAGCCGGACTTGGTCAGCTCTTCCGAGCTGTCTGAGCAGCTGTTACTTGACTCTGAGCCGGAAGCTGAATGCCGGTACACTTCCGGCGCTCCGTGCCGTTTTGTGCGGCTTCGACCTCACTCCTCTCTGTGGGGGTGGTGCCGTTCCCTCCCCCTGGGGTCTCCCCGCCTCCTGACGAGGGAGGTCCTTGCCCTATAAGGACCTAATTTGAATAGAGCGCTCTGTTGGTTTTGCACTCTACCGCAGGGACTGTCCCCCCTTCCCGCTCGCCCGCGCATGCGTTGTTAAGCAGGCTGACGTCATTTCCACCCTTCTCCTCCTCCCTTCCGCCCTCGCCATGTGGTTCGGCGCCATTTTTAAATGCGCATGGCGGGGGCGAGTTTTTACCGATCCCTAAGGGGTCCGACCATCCGGCCGCGTTCCGCGCCTTCTCCGCGGGTCCCTGCCTGAAGCATCGCGCGCACTGCTCTGCCTCTTGTGCTGGATCGGCGACTGGCGGGGAAGGGACGGATAGAGAAACCGCGGTTTTCTCGGATGGCTCCGCGGGGGGGCTAGGACCCGGCAGGCTCCGTGGGAAGGTCGGGGGTCCCCTGGGGGTTCCGGGGGGTCTCCTGGGGGCTCCGGGGGGTCTGGGCTCGGGCTCGGGAAGGGGTGGAACGTGCCCGGCCCCTGCATGTTCCCGCCTTCAATCTGACCGCTCTCTGAGGCAGTTTGTGTCGCGGCCCCCACCCCCAGCTTTGGTGTAGCTAATAAACCTGTACACGCGGCTTTCCACGTCTCCTGTTCTTCTAACGTCTCGCGTAGGGTCTCTTCTACTTTCCCCCACGCTCTGAGGTTTTTACCTCTGCCTGCGGACTTAGAGTCCTCTGTTGAGGCGGCAGTGCACTTCTCCCGCGCTTCCGAATATAATATATTGACCGGACGTCCGATCGTCCCCAGCTCTAGGAGCCTTGCAATAGCAAGATTAGAGTTCCTGAGCTCACCTTTAATTCCCCATTGCTCATGAGCCTGACTTACGACCTTCGCTGTGGATTCCATGGTCCACGCTGGTCCGGAGGCGTCCCTCCCGCTGTAGTCTGACCCGCCGCTACAGCCGCTGCCCTCTGTCCAGGAGAATCCCCGAACCCCGGGGGCTGCAGCAGTCCCGGGTTCGGCACCAGTTTGTTGCCTTCTGAAGCAAGGCAGGCGACCTGGTTCAGACGAACAGCACAGCAGCACTCTCACTAGGGCCACTCGGGCCAATGACACACGCAGACATCAATGTGATGGACGGTCAAAAGGCGTTTATTATCTCATCTCTTGGGTTTTTATAGTCTAAGGGGTCTCTACGTCAGCATGGGTCTGTCTTTACCTTCTATGGTTAGTAAGGGGTGGACAGTTACTGGGTAGGGGATGGAAAGTTACTGGAATTCGGTTAGGGGGGCTACTTTCCTATGTTAGTTTCTTATCTACGGGAAGCAGATGGTCTTATCTAAGGGGAACTGAGGGTCCTGCCTTTCCGTTACATCGCGAGATCTTCCGCAGCGCCTGTCCCTTTCTACCACAGTCCCCCTGTGCTCACAGGCCTCTGCAGCCACAGGAGAATTTGCCTCTTACCATGGCCGCCGATTCCCTGAAGTAAGGAGGTTTTCCTTCCACCATCTCGATGGTCACAATGCCAAAGGCCCAGATGTCCACCTTGGGGCCATAAGGAGATCTGGTCACAACTTCTGGGGCCATCCAGTGAGCAGTGCCCACCATGGAGCTGCGCTGGTCCTGCTCAGGGCTGAGCTGAGCGCAGAGGCCAAAATCAGCTGAGGACAGAAACAAACCCTGTCAAAGGCAGCTGCAACGAGGAAACCAAGCACCAAGATTCCCCACTCTCAGTCTGAGAGTGCAGTAGTGAAGTCAGCTGGAAAAGCCCTCAGGGCTGTAGCCAAGGAAAGATGGAACTGGACCCTTCAAGAAACCATTGAGGAAGGGGCGGGGGATGTGAGAGAGAAGAGGGGAAGGAGGCAGGAGGAGGAGCAGGGCGGGGGGAGCGATTGAACCGTGGCAAGAGAAGGGGGAGATGAGGAGAGGAGCAGAAACAGGAAAAGTAGCGGGGACACCCCGGCCTTCATCGAGGTGTCCACGAGGGGCCAGGAAGATGTGGAACCCCCAGCCAGGAGTGTTCCCAACACGGGGGGCTCTGACCCTGGGGGTCACCCGGGATTATCCAGCGCGGATCCTGCCACGGGGGATGGAGATGGAGCGGCGCACGGAGCTCGTCCCTCACCGGGCACTGGGGAATCCGCGGGCAGCAACCCCTCCTCCCGGGCCCAGCCCCCACCCTTTGTCCCCCTCCCTTTGCCCAAATCTGTCCCATCGCCCCCCCCAAACCACTCCCCATCGCCCCCCAATAAACGGGCCCGGGGCCAACTGGGAAGCTTGATTGGGAGCACTGGGAGCAGGCACTGGGCGGGGGCAGAGCGCCAGCGGGGCTGGGGGGGACACGGGACCCCCCAGAATCAGCGGAGCGGGGACGGAGCGGGGGGGTCCCGGCCAGGCCCGAGCCCACGGGGAGGGGCTGCGGCCGCCGCCGGCTCAGGAGCTCTGTGGGCACAGAAAAGGGGGTGACACCGGGCTGGGGGCCCCCGGCGGGAGTGCACACGCTCCGCCACGGCGGGGACGCCACCCCCGGCAGCCGCCCTGACCTTCTTGCGCAGGGAGAAGCCGAGCCCCAGCGCCAGGAAGACGAAGCCCAAGACGAAGCCCCCAGTCCCCATCAATGTCTTGCTGCGGGCGGCGTCCGGCGGCATCTCTGGGGGGTCCGCAGGGGAACTGGGAGAGAGGGTGGAGGTCTATGAGTGAACTGTGAATGAACTGGGAATGGACTGGGAGAGACTGGGGAGGAACTTGGCATGGTCTTGGAGGGACTGGAATGGCACTGGGAGGGATCTTGGTGGCACTGGGAGGAACTGGGAATGAAGTGCGCGGCACTGGGAGGCCGAGTCCGGCGCGAGGCGCGAGGCGCTGCGGGTCTGCCTGGCAACAGATGAGTCATGAACAGGATGCGATCTCATGGGTTGGGGAGCGTCAACTTTACGGGTCGCTGAAATGGACGCGCGAGGGGGCACTGGGAGGGACTGGGAGGATCTGGAGACCCCGGGGATCGCCACAAGGAGGGCTGAGGGCTCTGGGCCGATGCCCATGGAGATTTTGAGGGGCTCCAGGGTCACTGGCAGGGCAGGCCCCGAGGGGACATGCTCTCCCTCGTGCTCACCTCGGCGCTCCGTGATGAACGGGGTAAAATTCTTGTACCAGCACCGGCAGAACCAGTCCACCGCAGTCCGTCTGTCCTCCATGAATACCGCGTTGCTGTTCCAGCGCTTGGCCAACTTCTCCCCATAGCGGGTGAACACCACAAAGTGCCCCACGTCTCTGTCGAACATTATGAACTGATCCCGGTTGTAGATGGATCTCTGGACGTACCTCACATTCTCCGTGCCGTTAATGAAGTAACACTCGGACTTTGTCATCCTTTGGAACACCCCTGTGTGTGCAGAACATAGATCGGGGAGTGCCTCTCCAACACCCTCCCCCAGCACCCCCAGAGCTCTGGGCCCACTCCGGATCCCCACTCCGCACCCCCAGTGCCCCTCGGCCGCCATGGGACCCTCCTGCCCGCGCTGCCCCTTCCTCTTTGCAGCCCTTCCCCCATTTCCCCTTCCACATCCTCTCCCCTCCCACCTCCGGCCGCTCCCCAAATCACTTTGGGGTGCCATTTCCCCATTTTCCCACAAATTCCCCAATCCCCAGGCCCCATTGCGATCAGTTTTGAGGTCCCCCCCTCCGCTTTTGCCCGCTTCCCCACCCTCTCCCACCCCTCCCCTCCCGCTCTCCCTTTGGGGGGTCCCCTCCTCCTCCCCCTCCATTCTGGGCTCCCCCCTTCGCCCCCTTTTCCCCCTTCTCCCCCACTGTCCCAGCGCCTCCCGCCCCCCGCTCACCCGAGAGCTCCGCGCCCGCAGCCGGGGGGGCTCCCAGCACCACCAGTGCCACCAGCAGGGCCCCAGCTGCCGCCCCTCGCCCCATGGCCGGGGCCGGGCAGGGAGCAGCAACCCCAAAGCAGCCGCGCTGCGCTGGGAGCGCCAGTCCGGAGCAGGGCGGGCTCGGCAGCGCCGCGCGCTCTCATTGGCTGCCGCCGCTTCTGGGCAGCGATCGGCCACGGGCTCTGCCCGGCAACCGATGAGGCAATCCAACGCCCCGACCTCTCATTGGCTAAGCCTCCTCCTTCCTGCGCTGCCATTGGCTGAGGCCTTTCCGGGACGCTGCAGCCCCGGGCTGGGGGTTTTTTGGGCAGGGGGAACCTTGGGGCGCTGGGCAGGTGGGAGCTCAGGTGAGCCCAGCAATGCCGGCCCAGGTGCGCGGCATCTCAGGGCTGCCCGTGGCGAGGGGTGACGCTGGCCCGATGCCAGGCACCCCCAGAGCCGCTCTGTCCCTGCCCCCGCAGCCGCACAGGGACAGAAAATGGAACCGAGGGTTCCTGCGTGGGGACAAGGACCGGGAGAGATTCCGAAGCAAATCCCGCACGGGCACAGCAGATCCGGCCTGGGAACATGGAGGGAATTTATTACCAACCAAATCATAGCAGCACAAGGAGAAGGGAAAGAAATCTCTCCAACACCTTCCCCCTGCCCAGCACAGATCACTCAGAACAGGGGTCACCAGGGCTCTGCCCAACGGGGGTCACTGGGGATCATCCAGCGCGGATCCTCCCATGGGGGATGGAGCTGGAGCAGCGCACAAAGCTCTTCCCACACTCGGGACACTCACAGGGCCTCTCCCTGGTGTGGAAGTGCTGGTGAGTGACGATCTCTGAATCCCACCTGAAGCTCTTCTGACATCCCAAGCACTCCTAGGGCCATTCCCCAGTGTGGATCTTGTGATGCTTGCTGAGGTCGGAGGTCCCACTGAAGCTCTTCCCACATTCCCCACACTCCCAGGGCCTCTCCCCAGTGTGGATGTTCAGGTGTTCCATCAGGGTGGAGCTGGAGCTGAAACCCTTCCCGCATTCCAAGCACTTGTGGGCCTTCTCCCTGCCATGAAGCTTCTCCACCAGCTCTGAGCTCTGGCTGCATCTCCAGCCGCCTTCCTGGCTCAGGGCAGCTCTTTACTCCCCACACCTCCCTGGGCTGGGTTTGCAGCCCCTCCTTGTGAGGGATCTCTGGGGCTTTTCCTCCTCCTCCATCTGGCCACAGCTTGGGAATGACAAACCCTGGTTTGGGGGTAACCAAGGTTGGAGTGCCTTGGAGTAGAGGCTCCTCCTGGCCAGGTCCATCTCTGGACCTCAGCAGGAGTCTTGTGTCCATGAAAATCTCCACACATCAATATTTAGCCCGAAAAAACTCTCCCAGGAGCTCCCTATTGCTGATCTCTCCACTTTTGGGGTTCAGGATCACAGGGGTCCAATGGTTCCAGGGGTTCTCCATTCTCTGGTGTCCTGCTTAGGGATGATCCAGGGGCTTTTCGGGGTCCATGGGGTCCCTTCTACCCTGATGTTCTTCTTTGAGATCCCAGGGATCCCAGGGATCCCTCCTCTCCAGGCTCCCCCCCTTTCCAGTCTGCCGGGGTCCCCCTGCTCTGGGATTGCCCCTCTCTGCTCTCCCCACTCTGGGGGTTCCAGGGGTTCCCCTCCTCTGCTCTCCCGGGGGTCCCCAGGACCAATGTCCTCCCCCGCCCATACGGGGCAATGACCTTGTGGGCCCCCAAAGATCCTCCAAGAGGCTCAGCTTTGGGGTCCTGCAAGATCCAAACCTACACACACAGAGAAAAAAACCTCCCAGGGACACCAGATGATATTTGGGGTCAATTTCACAATCTGTGAGCTCCAAACACACCCCAATAAAAAACCCTCTCAGGGACCCCCGGATGGATTTGGGACGAGCTCCCCCTCCCCGCTCACCTGCAGGACGAGCTGGGGGCGATGGTCCCGCGACTGCGGCCACAGGGGGCACTGGAACCTCCTGTTCCTCCTGCTCCTGCTCCTGCTCCTGCTCCTCCTCTTCCTGCTCCTCCTTTTCCTTTCTCCCTCCTCCTCCTCCTCCTCCTTCCTAATCCCACCTCCTCCCCAGTTCCTGCCTTCTGTATATTTAGAGTGGAGAACGTTGCTTGTTTTTAGAACTAGAACAAAGATCCCAGATGGAACAAGGCTTGCTGCTTTTAGTCAGAAGCATCAGTGACTAAAGGTCACGTTTCCTTTGGTTCGGTGCCGTCCTTGTTCCTTCTCAGTGTTCAGACTGGGCTATGGGGTGTCCTTGTTTGCTGCATTTTCCGAGTTCCTCTTGCACCCTTTGGGCCATGGGCTGTGCCCTGGGAGGGTTCTTTGTGCTCCTTTATGACACAGGAGAACCTTCCAGGCGGTTTCTGCGTGAGCTGCTGCTGGGATGTCACAGGAACAGCACCACGTCCCCGTGGTGTTCCCGTTGCTGTGGGACACGGAGGCCTCAGTGCCCAGAGTGGCTCTGGGCTCGTTGCCAGAGGATCCTCCTGCCTGAAGCATTCTCAGCAGCCAGCCCAGCCCTGACAGGTGTCCTTCTGTGCTTGCAGGGCTACAGGCTGAAGAGGTGTGCAGCGCAGCCAAAATGCTCCAGCACGTGGCTGCTGCAGTTTGCACTCTGTACTCTGTGGCTTATTCGGGGTATTTTTTAACCCACTTGGCACGTAAGTCGAGGTTTTCCCTCACTGCAGCATCTGTGGCTTTGGGCTTGCTGTGTGCTTTCTGTTCTTCCTCTGGAGCTGAGCTGACTTTGGAACCAAATTGCCATGAAGACACCATTGCTTTGGGAGAGCTCCTGCTAGCAGCTGCAGCTGAAAAAGGGGGTGTCTGCAGCCAGTGGGGCGTGCACAGCATCTGCAATGGGCCCTGGGGGGTTCTGTTCCCTCAAGCAGGGAGTCTGTGCCAGCAGAGCCTGGAACTCCCTCCCTTTGCTGCTCCAGCCAAGAACTGACCCAGCCCAGTATTTTGTGCTGTTCTCTTGCTTGCTGTGGGAAGGGACTGTGGCTCCTGGAGGGATGCTGTGAAAGCAAAATGCTCTCTCAGGGTTGCCTTGCTCTGTGGCATTTCCCACCACAGGCAGTTTTTCTCCTAACAGCATCTGGTTCATGTTCCCTCTCCCATTGCAGGGCACCTCATGTCTGGATTCCAAGCAGCTCCTCCTTCGGTGAGTGGGAAAGGAACCTTTGGTGTTTGGAATTGTGCAGCAAGTTGTGAGCTCGGCATGTGGCAGCTGAGTGCCAGCCTGGGAAGCTGAAGGAAAGTTCCTGTCAGTGCCTGCAGCAGCAGCAGCAGCAAAGGGATCCCCGGCAGTTTTCTCCTTTTCTGCTGAAGAGCTTTAGAAGAGCTGCAGGTCTGGCTTTGGAGGCAGAGGATTGCTTGCTGGCTTTAGCCATGGTGGAATATCGAATTCCCAACAATAAGTGGCAATGTCGACTTTAGCCCATTTTTAGTTGGAACAGCTCTGAACCCAATTTCTGCTTAGTGCAGCTGGATGTGCAGCTGAGGATAAATAAGGTGATAACTGAGATAGAACTTCCCGTCCCTCACGCTGCCGTCTGTCCTCAGGGCACAAAAGCAGCACCAGCACCTCCTGGGGCTCCTTCTGCTTCCAAAGAGGAGGAAGACAGCAGTGAGCTTCCCGCTGCTCTGGGGGACGATGGTGAACTTCCCTCAGTGCCGGGAGATGACAGTGAACTTCCCGCTGCTCTGGGAGACGAGGGCGAACATCCTGTGGTGTGGGAATGCAACGGCGAGGCTCCCGCGGGGTGGGACAAGGACAGGGGACATCTCCCGGCGTGGGACGAGGGTGGTGGATGTGCCCTGGTGTGGGACCAGAATGGCCAAGCTCCCATGGAGTGGGATGAGGATGGAGGACATCTCCTGGAGTGGGGTGAGGATGGAGGACATCCTGTGTCTTGGGAAGAGGAGAGTGAACATCTCCCAGCATGGGAAGTGGTCAGTGAACATCCCCTGGCTTGGAAAGATGATCGCAAACCTGCAGCATTTTGGGAGGAGGATGGAGAAGCTGCAGCATTTTGGGAAGAGGATGGAGAACCTCCCTCTGCTTGGGAAGAGGACAATGAAGCTCCCTCCGCTGTGGGATCCTGGGCTGAACATTCTGACAGCAGCACAGCCCTGCAGCCAGAGGGGAGAGGGGAGTGGTGCCTGATGCAGCTGAGTACGTCTGCTCTGTTCCTGGGTGCCCGAGCAGGTGCTGTGTGTGTGTCTGGGCATCAGCTGCACCCATGGTTGCTCTGCAGCTGAATGTCACAGAGCCATTTATTGTCCTTCCCCAGCTGACACCAAGGGGCTCACGGCCCCAGGGAGCGGGGCTGGTTCTTGCTCTGCTGCAAGGTGGGCTCTCACTCTGGGAGGGAGCATCTTCCACGTTTTTTCTTTCAGGGAACACCATGAGCGAGGCGGAGTCTGCCCAGAAATACCTGGAAGTGGAGCAGATTGGCCAAGGGTAAGTGCAGGGCAGCTGCTTCTGCACAAGCAGGGCTGGGTGTTGCGCTGGTGCAGGATCAAGTGAGTGTCAGGAGAGCCCAAAGCACCTTCAGGCACTGGGCTACCATCCTGCTGTCTCTCAGTCCTGATCAGAATTGATAACTGTGGTCAGAAGGTGCCGTCAAAGGCCCCTGAGGCTGGCAGTGTCCTGCCTGCAGCAAGGAGCAGGACCTGGAAGATCTTCTGTCCCTGGAACTTGATTGCCTAAAAGAGCAACTCACCATCTGGTGACTGTCAGAAAACAGTTCTCAAGAAGATTTCTTTCAAATATTTTCCTTCAAATAATATCCACCAGTCAGGATTATCAACCTAATGGTTTAGAAACAGAAACCAGAGATGAACCAATAAGTGCTGTACTCTAGCACAGGTAGCAGACCCCATACATTCAGTAACAGACACAGAGCTGATGCACTCTGGGGGGAAATGCATCACCTGTCTGATGGCAGGGCCCTTGTAGAACAGGCAGGACTTAGCCTGGAAATGGAAAAGGATGAAATGCATTCTTTTCCAGTTCTTTAGACACCCATTTCTCCTCCTAGCTTTGGAACTAAAGCAATTCAGCATGGACATTTGGGATTTGCTCCAGCCCAGTTCCTTCGTGTTGTGTCTCAGTTTCCTCTTGCACACCTTGCATGGCAGAGGGCTGGTGGCTTCTGTGCTGGTGATGGAAGGGTGGATGCACCCAGGTGTTTGTGAACGCTGCAGGCAGCAGAGATCTCCTGTCTGGGCTGGCTTTCACTGCCAGGGCCTAAAGCGCTGCTTCTTTCTTCTCTGCTCTTTTGTCTCCAGGGCTTTCGGAGCTGTTTCTAAAGGACTCGACAGGGCCACTGGAGGAGAGGTCAGTGCCAACACGCCCAGCACGGCCGGCAGCTCTGCAGGGCTTTCCCCTCTGCTGGGAGCTGTGGCTGCAGCTCTGGGGGCCAGCAGAGCTTTCCTGCCCAGGCTGCTCCTCTGAAGGCAGAGCAGTGTCAGCCTGCAGAGCACAGCTGGGACAGACTTGGTCCTTCTCAAGTGCCCAAGGAATGCAAGGAGGGCAGCGGTGTCTGTCAAAGCAGGACACCCTGGCTTGGTCTTTATATCTAAAAGTGTGAATGCATCAGCTGCTGGAGACTGAGGCCCCATTAATCTTCATCCCAGCCTCAGAGAGGAACATTATTTAGCTGTTTTTCCATCCTGCCTTTCATCTTCAAAGGGAACCTCAAGCCCTAATTAGGGAGAGATCCTGCTTGGGCTCAGTTTGGGGTATTAGTCCAACTTCAGCTGTTCACAGAGGGAGAGGGAGAGAAATGAGAAGATGGGTGTCCAGAGCAAAGCTCTCTCCTAAACCCTGCAGTTGTGTTTGGGTCTGGTGTCAGTGACAGCCTGTGACAGGGATCACCTGAGCAATGGGTGTGTGTGTTTGCTTTGTTGTGCAATCCCAAACAGAGCAGTTGGATCTGAAATCATGACCAAATCCCATAGAATTGCTAAAGAGTTCCTGGCTGTTTTGCTCTTTTTTCACAGAACCAGAATTACCTCCTGCTTGCAAAATGT